GCTTAACCAACTGAGCCACCCAGGCGCCCAGGGTCTCACTTTTTAATGTATTTTCACATGTTATTCCCCAGGGATTCTTGAAAGGTGTGGCTCTTAAGAGCCACCTCCTACAGGTTATGGAGCCTGGCCCAGCAATCTCTGGCTACTTAATAAAATCTTCCTCAGTAGAACTGGGGTTTATATTCACCAATACCAAAATCTTTACCTCAAATTTCTGGGAAGGTTTCTCTCTGACCTAGTTAGAAGATAATCCTTTGCATGTTTTTTTTTTTCCCCCCTGAAAAGTGAATTGTGTGATCCATATGATTGATCTTCCATAAGCCAGTTCCCAGAATAACCTTCAACTAAAGCTAAAGGACATATTCTTAAACCTTTGAAAATATTTTAGGGGCGCTTGGGTGGCTCAGTCGTTACGCGTCTGCCTTCAGCTTAGGTCATGGTCCTAGGGTCCTGGGATCGAGCCCTACATCAGGCTCCCTGCTCAGCGGGAAGCCTGCTTCTCCCTCTCCCACTCCCCCTGCTTGTGCTCTCTCTCTCGCTGTCTCTCTCTCTCTCTGTCAAAATAATAAAATCTTAAAAAAAAAAACAACATTTTAAACCACATTGATAATAGACCCTATATAAGAATAGTAATAATGTAGCTTTAACTTATAATGGAATCTAATTATCATATGATTATGGGTCTTTTTCATTCAGATGTGACAGTGGTGTATCAAAACGGGTTACCTGTGATATCTGTGAGGCTACCGTCCCGGCGTGAACGCTGCCAGTTCACACTCAAACCTATCTCAGACTCGGTTGGTGTGTTTTTACGACAACTGCAAGAAGAGGATCGGGGAATTGACAGAGTCGCAATCTATTCACCAGGTACAGTCACATTCATTATTTATTCCCACCCAACCCTCATTTCACCCCTGACCACTTGTACACACACACCCCCCACTGCAAAAGAATCCCCACACTCTTAACTTTAAAACACATTTTTTTTTTTTTTGCTTAGCAAATGTCAGGAGAGACAGTGATTTGTCTCCCAGTTCTCAAAGTATGATTGTTCAATTTTAGGACTGTATATACACAAAAAGTCTCATTCAGAAGCACCTCACATATAATGCCATGGGCAAAGATGAGCAGTCAATCACATGTTATTGAACCTTTTATTATTACTTTAGGCATAAAATAAATTTTTCTAGTAGTTGAGCCCTTAACTCGGGGGATATGAAGTGTTAAGGACTTCTTTTTCGATCTTCTGTCTTTCACATGAAAGTTTACAAAATAAAGACATATATGATTGGAAAAGAATGAAATAAGGCACTAAAAATTCCCATTTGACATGATATCTGTCCTATTTATTTATTTGAATACCTTACAATTTTTTCCCATTCTTTGAAAAATCTTAAACCTACAGAAAACATAAAAGACTATATAGGAAGTACCTATTTACCCTTGGATTTACCAGTTGTTAACAATTTGCCACATTTCTGTGCTTTAAGTAGTTTAAATATACTTAATTTTCATCTTATCTAGTAATATAATTAGTAGACCCTATCATCTGTCCCTACCAAATTACTGGCAACTAACCAGTAATTATACTGAGAAGTACATACATTAGAAAACATTGTGTTTTTTACTCAACAAACTTCCATCACAGATAGATATATGACATTCATGCAGCTCTCCCAGCAACCCTAGATTTCCAATTAACAGCTATAGATCTTTGTAATTATTTTACTTGTTCATAAAGTTCTGTTAGAAGAGTATATTGTTAAATCTTCATGGACTTGAGATCACCAAAGCAAAAAGCCTCAGATAATAAAAGCTTTATTTAGCACAGAACTTGGGGATGAGGCAGAAGTGAACTGGAATTTAAAAGAGAAGATATAATTTTTAAAATTGATTTTGAGGCTTGCTTTTTCCTGATCATTCTCAAATAATTATGGACATATGACAAGTTTAAATTTTTACATTTAAATTTTTCACAGATGGCGTTCGAGTTGCTGCCTCTACAGGGATAGACCTCCTACTCCTTGACGACTTTAAGCTGGTCATTAATGACTTAACGTATCATGTACGACCACCAAAGAGAGGTAAAAAGTAATCTTGATAAGGCCAGAGAAATGTGGAAGGGCTTTTGGAAAGAACTTTGCTTTTCTTTGGATAACCTTGAGAAGCCGATAATAATCAAAGAAACTGAAAGTCTTACGTCCAGATAAACTCTTTCAGTTGAACAGCTCATTGATTACCTCACGCTTGAGTACTTGGCTAGTACACTGACTGAAACTTAGATTCTGCCTAGACACCAGAATGCTTTAGTATTGGATATTGTCACTCTTTCACAGAAATGAATGTTCTACGTAAATTAACCTCCTTCCTTCCATACAAGCTAGAAGTTACATTATTTTAATAACATTGCAGGGGGAATCTTTTTAAAATATATTATGGACTTCCCTGTCCATATTAAAATAATATTTTAATGAACTATTTTAAAGTTAATGCAAAAAAACCATGATGAACAAAATATCAAAAATTTAAATGAAGGCAGTTGGTATTACTGATTTCTCTTTTTATCCCAGACTCCAATATGACTCTGCACAGTACTGATGCTAGATAGCTCTCTAAAATAGCCTTTGATTTGGGTCTTTTTTGGTCACTTTTCTCTCTCTGCCCTTGATCTTATTGTCACTTACTGCTGTAGTTAATGCCCCTTCCATTATCACCAGCCTCCTAGGATGTCCCTTCTTTTCAATTCTGCTTTTGAGAATTGTGTCTAAGGTAGAAAATGTTCTCAGTGAAAGCCTAAATATTGAATGCCTCCAAAATCTGGTCCACATCTACTTTAAAAGTTTTCCTCTTTCCCTCTTACATGTTGTCTACTTTTCCTCTGTCCTCTATTCCTTTTCTCTTTTCTGAACTAGGCCATTCTTTGCCATCTCAGTGTTTGCTCACCTTTCTCTATGGTGCCTTTTTTTCTTTCTTCCTAACCTATTCCTCTTGTCAAAATCGTCAAGGCCGGCTCTTCCATGAAGGTTTTAACAGTCCTTTCTTGCTCTGACTCCCAGCCAACTAGAAGTGACTAATCTGTTCCCTGAACTCTTCTTATTCTTCTTTGTTGTTAATGCTCAGATGGAAGGCACTGTGATTTTGTGTCCTCCATTGACTCAGATGGTCGTTGTGTGTTGAGTGAAATAAGTGAGTTAAGGCGGTAGCATTTTGGTTGTTCAGAAGCCAGATTCTCTTCCACATGCAAGCTAGTTGAAATGGAACTAGCTTAGAAAAAGTATAGTAAATACGGCAAGAATGGAAAAGTATCCTTTAAATAGTAAGACATTACTGAACCAGACTTTATTACATTGGAATAACAGAACATATATATAGACCCAGGGATTGTTAGCTACATACCAGCTATGCTAATATGTTTTTCTTTATTCCCTGATTTTTGGACTAGAAGTTCTCTTTAAAATAACAGAAGTACAGGCCTTAGTTTACTCAGTTTTTTGTTATTGTTATTGTTCTTTAAATTTGCTCTTTCTTTTCCAGCTTTATTGACAGATAATTGGTATATAGCATTTAGAGCAGTTTAAGGTATACAGTGTGATGATTTAATACACTTTAATATTACAAAATGATTACCACAATAGGATTAATTAACACCTCTGTCATCTCACATAATTACCTTTGTGTGTGTGTGGTGAAACACTTAAGGTCTACTCTCAGCAAATTTCAAGTATACAATACAATATTGTTAACTATAGTCACCATGCTGTACAGTAGATCCCCAGAACTTACTCATATTACAATTGGGAGTTTGGCATCCCTTGACTGACCATACCATAATACCATAGAATCCAGTAATCCCACTTTTGGATATATAACCAATGGAAATGAAACCAGGATCTCAAAGAGATACCTGCACTCCCATATTCACTGATGCATTATTCACAGTAGTGAAGATAGGAAAACAACCTAATTGTCTGTTTGCAGATGGATGGATAAAGGAGATGTGGTACATACATATAATGGAATATTATTCAGCTGTGAAAAAGAAGGAAACCTGCCATTTGTGACAAACTGGGTAGACCTTGAGGGCATTCTACTTAGGAGTATTTTGTGTGTGTATGTGAATTACCTAGAGAATTCATTCTATTTAGATTTTCTATTAGTAAAATTTTAAAAGTTCCCTAATACATCCTTACATAAAGTATAATAAGCGGGACAGTAAGCTTACATATATTATGTTGTCCAAAATTAGAGGCTTTTAATCAATCACTAATTCTAACCACCTTGTCTAATACTGTGTTTTTAAAGCAGAAATGAATGTTTTAGGTTTTTAAATAGCATCATTATAAGGGAAAGTAAAGGTAGAAACTGAAAGGGGGAGATATTATATTTGATTCTCTGGTAATCAGTTCATCATTCTAACAACTCTTTGCTTTATCTGCATCTCAGAACTGTGGAATACTACTCAGCTTCCCCAGATGTCAGTTAGAATATGAAGTTTGTGGAGCACCTGGCTGGCTCATTTGGTGGAGCATGCAACTCTTGATCTTGGGGTTATAGGTTTGAGCCCCACATTGGTTGTAGAGATTACCTAAAATAAATTGTTTTTAAAAAAGAATGTTAAGTTTGCAAGGGTCAAAAGTCTATAATTCATAGAATAATTGTAAATTGAAATGTGAAATTTGGTCAGGGGAAGGACAGAGGGAGAGAATCTCAAGCAGACTCCCTGCTGAGCATAGAACCCTACACGGGCTGTATCCCAAGACCCATGAGATCATGACCTTAGTTGAAACCAAGAGTCTGTCACTCAACCAACTGAGCCACCCAGTCGCCCCTAAAGTATCTTTCTAGTATTTAAAATATTTTCATACATCATAGCTCTCTTACCTCTGTTATTAGACAATGAGAGATTATGCCATTAGATACCATTTCTCACAGAAGCTCAAATAATACTGTTTTAAGTCCATAAACACTTTTTCCCAAACTTCTAAAACATAGTAAAAATCAAAAACACAGGAAACAAGTGTTGGTGATGATGTAGAGAAAAAGGAGACTGGTACAGCCAGTTAAAAATAGTTAAGATAGTTAAATAGTTAAAAATAGAAGTACTCTATGATCCAGTAATTGCACTGCTGGGTATTTTCCCCAAAAATACAAAAACACTAATTCAGAGGGATACATGTACCCCTTTGTTTATAGCAGCATTATTTACAATAGCCATATTATGGAAGCAGCCCCAGTGTCCACCAACAGATGAATGGGTAAAGAAGATATGGTGTATGTATGTATACAATGGAATATTATTCAGCCATTAAAGAGGATGAAGTCTTGCGTTTTGCAATGACATGGATGGAGCTAGAGAGTATAATCCTAAGTGAAATAAGTCAGAGAAAGACAAATACCATATGATTTCACTCATGTGGAATTTAAGAAAAAACAAATGAACAAAGGAAAAAGACAAATCAAGAAACAGACTCTTAACTAAAGAAAACAAACTGACAGCTACCAGAGGTAAGGGGGTGTGGGGGATCGCTGAAACAGGTCATGATGAACACCAGGTGTTGTATGGAAGTGTTGAATCACTATATTGTACACCTGAAACTAATATAATACTGTATGTTAACTATATTGGAATTAAAATTTTTTAAAAAGATCTTAAAAAAACATAGTAAAGAAAATAATTTTCTTTTGATAATATATAAAATAGTTTTTAATTTTGTTTCCACCATATTATGTTCCTTTCCCTGTGTGAGGAAGATACTGCTGGCATCCAAGTTACCACTCTTTTTCATCTGCATCAAGAGAGCAGTTTGAATTTCTGCATTTGAGAAGGTTGGCAATCATCCAGATGAGTAGGCATATTCCTCTTCCCCACATTGGAACTCTTTTTAGTGAAAAGGCTAAACAGAAAAGAAATTGAAGGTACTAGAGCTCAGGTATCAGATGATGAGGAGGAACACTAGGATTTTATATATACATGGAGCAGATGGAACAAATCTAATAAAAGAGTTAATGAAGGAGAACTTTTCCAGGACAGTTTTTTAAGTTTTGAAAGTTTTTTCTACTCACCCCGCCTTTACCTTTTACTTCTCTCCTATTTTCCTTTTCCCTGTTTTTTTTTTTTTTTTTTTTTTGTTAATGACTTTATTTATTTGTCAGAAAGAGAGAGAGAGGGCACAAGCAGGGCGAGCAGCAGGCAGAGGGAGAAGCAGGCTCCCCGCCGACCAGGGAGGCCAGTGAGGGACTCGATCCCAGGACCCTGGGATCATGACCTGAGCTGAAGGCAGACGCTTAACCGACTGAGCCACCCAGGTGTCCCTTTCATTTCCCTGTTGATGGATAGCACTTTAGAGCTAAAAATGCTGTATGTTGTGTACCAGTAAACCTGAACTTTATGCACTTCCATCAGGCACCGAGGATAAAGGGCTTATTGATAGAGGATCTAATAAAGGCCTATTTAACATTTATGTGGGATTGACAGTCCATAAGTATTATGGATACCTAAGTGTTGACAACCCTTGTACCTAAGCCCAAAATTGAAAGGGGAGAGGCAGAAAGAACCAAGGGGCAGGTCATAGCACTAAGGCTAGCTGTAAGCATCATTGCATTCTTTTGATTACCATAGCTGTGTATGGCTGGATTGCCCTCTGCCCACTGCAGGATGAGAATAGTAACTGTTTTAGCAATTAGATTATTTTAAACCTAACCTAAATCTAGATTGGAGGGAGGAATATGGAAAGGGAGTACAAAAGGTCTTTTATCTCAGTCCATGTTGAAGTAGTAATTAACTACCTTCCACTTAGTATTGGGGAGGAAGAGAATATAATCTAAGTCACTGGTTGTTCAGAGTTGTTGTGCTAAGGAGAATCATTTTGATTGGCACCACTAAGCCCTTTTCCCCATTTATCCATCCAGAGGATATTGGAGACCTTGCTTCTCTCTTAATGATGTAAATGACTTGAAAGAAACAGTTGAACAGGCAAACCAAATACAAACAGTAACAAATACTTTATCAGAGACTCAACCAAAGTCCTTCTCAAACCATTCTAGTAGAGCTAAAAAGACTTTTAATCCCCATTATGTTAACATA